CAAAGTGTAGGCTTGGCGTACATTGTACACCAGTGTGCCGATTCTCTAGCCTAACCATGCTCAGGACAGAAAGTTCTTATTTGCTATCACTCTTTTCTTTGCCAGATGTGTTCCCGGGAATTCAATCAGGTTTTAGATGTTATTTGTGTTAACTGAATATTATTCTAATTTGTCTTCCAGAGAAGGTCCACACACCACTCCATTGCTTTCTTAGAAATGTGGGCACCTTCTAGGCATCATACAACCACTATGTCTCTCTGTGTTGGAATAACTAAACTGCAGCCAATGGCATCATACAATCTATAAAATGCCATTAATCCCAATGCTGCAATGAGATCACAGTATTAGCAGATGCCAGAACATATATTACATCAATCATAGATCAGGAATGATCGAGCATTTGAACTGGCTCCTTACTGAAAACGGTCTGCTCTGTTGACGTCTCAAAACCTGGGTTGATAAGGACCACTGGATGTTTATAAAAATTGTGCAGGCTGAGGACTCGGTGTTTCTCGTAAAAATATTACATTTAGCAAAAATTTTAGAGATAATAACAATACGCAGAATTTCTGGACCCATGTGTACCAAGTTACCAAGTAGTATTTTCAGCCCTTGGGAATTCCAACCTACAAATCCTTTTAGAGGCACTTCTAGAAAACCAAAAGGTTGCAGTAACCTGAAGTTTAAATTGATTACATTTATATTTAATGTTGCTCAGGCCTGGAAAACCCAAGACTATTATAGGTCAAACTGAGAATATCCTAAACTATGTTTTTGAAAAAGTTTACAGCATTACAAAACAACACAGTAAACATATACTAGACCTGAGAAACGTGGATCCAAAAAAAAAACTTCTCCAAGCTTTGATGCTATACACAGTGTGTGGTAAACAATAAAGCCTTTTGTGGGGCTATTGTGGTAGTCATTCTTATGGATTGTGCTCTAAGGATAATTCTTATATCTACAAATGACTACCTTGCTCATATTTATTAGATATTGTCTGTAAGAATAAACATCATCCTAAAAACCTTTCTATGCATAGCATTACAATCAGTGTGGAAGTCTGTGCAGAAAACTAAACTGGAGTTGCTTACTTTTTCTATTCAAACATTATTATATTAGGGTCCCTTTTTAAGATTTGCTTATCTTACTCTTTTATATATTCTGACAATTTTTACAGCATGTCATTCACATCAATCTTACATCAATTTAGTACTGCAATACAGATCTTTGTGAATCTGTAAGTATTAGTTGGTTCATTCAAAACTGATATTTCCATTTCTGGGAGAGTTGAATCATTCTTTATCGATAGCTCAGGGACACTGCCGTCAAGACCTCTCGGAAAAAGTCTATTACTCTGCTCCTCGTGCTATAGAATGCTACCTAGGATCTCCAATGCAGAGATTATACCACTGCTGTCCCTGAGAATTAAAACAAAGTGCACTTATTTTTTAGGCCCCTTTAAGGTGACATAACCTGATATTACCAGGAAGGGTCCGTCAAATCTCAGTAAGTATGCATCTATACATAAGGAGGCAGGGAGCAGTGACATCACCTTAAAAGGGTCTAAAGGACCCTCTTTGTTTTAACATGCACCTATCCTTGAACTGTAGGTCATCTATTGTAGGAGTAGAAAATGTTCACTTAGCAAAGAGAATGTTTACTCAGCTTAATAAATAAGGTGGAACTGTGTTCTATATCATCATCTAGTCATATAAAATACAATGGTTTCCCTTGCACATGAATGGCTATTCAAAAGGATGCAGAGAGTCACCTTTTTACCGAGCTAAGCGTAGACCTTATTCAGCCCGAATTGGCAAACTAATTTAAAACGTAAGTTTTGAGTGGACTGACCCTAAAACATTAATGGTTGTCTGATATCACAATGCGGTTTAGTTGCAATGTTACTGGCTGAAGTTGACTGACACCATATGTTGGGTTTCTAGAGAACAATAACAAAAGGAAGTGATAGGTTGGCAAGGGAAGTAGCCTGACCACAACTAATGAGTGTCTTATATGACACTCTGTAGGTGTGAAGAAGTGGAATGTGCAAGTTTCACAATGACATAGAGGGCTGTGTGGGTAGCCATGTTTTTTAACCACTTTCTTACCAGATGCTATAATAAAGCATCATCAGATCACATTTCTCTCTATCAGTGCAGTTTTAAAATGGAATCCAGTGTTGGGTTTGGACGGTGCTAGTCATGGAAATGCAGGATGTCATTGGACTCCAGCAAGAAATCCAAGAGCTTATTGATTATCAGTTGGGCACCAGATATGGCCACATCACCGTGGTCAGAGAGGAAACCCTGTGATGTCATCTCTGATGTCACTGTTGTTTCCTTTAAATGGCTGATTCAGCTCTGCCCTGCTTCCGCCTACAGCAGCAGATCAGAGCAATCGACTGCTGCAGAGATGAATGGGGTCTAGATCAGGTCACAGGACTTCCTCTGAGCCCTGGACGTGGACCCACCCCCCAACCTGTGACTGGCCAGTGAAAGAAGAAGCAGCACTGTGATGAGGTTATCTTTCTGTTACACTGCTTTCTTCCCCTATCAACATGCTTCTTGTCAACACATTAACTGATACATCCCTTCGACTTCTTCTTCTTCCACTCACATGTAGATGTACTACAAAAGGCTGATACCAGCTCACATTCAGGCGCTTACAATACTTGGATTAAAAAAATAATTTTAGTGATGTAGTAATCATTACAGAGCTGCATTAATTTGTGTCTCTTAGATCTGCCTATAGGAGTAGCAGTGACACCCGGCAGTGCTCATTTCCACATTATAATACAATCGTATGTGCCTACCTATGCCTCGCTGGCATATCCCCCCTTTCAGTGCACAGCAGGATGCGCTAGAGCACAGCCTCCTCTCACACATGCCACACATGCCTTCTCTCATTTCTGTCACGCATGTGCACTTCAGCTCATGTGCTTTGCATGCTGGGAACTGTAGTCCTATGGCAACTGTCTGTAAGCTATTCTATTCTTATGCCGGCCCGTTTCTGTATCCTTTATTAACCTCGAAGCTTCGGGAATAATGCATTCAGACATCAAAGTATCATGAATACAGAATTCAGTTTATTTTTAGTAAATACATAATTCTTATACAGTTTGGAGACTTTGCAGAAGAGGCGTGATTTGTCTACAGTAAAATACATTACACATCACAATAAGTTGCCATGCGCCCGCATCTGCATCGTGGGTGCATATAAAAATGGAAGTGGCAGGATGAACATAAGTTTTTAATGAATAAACATTTTTATTTGTAAAAGGATATTTAAAGAACTTTGGGTAAAAGAATTTGGGAGACCATCGCCCCACTGCAATGGTTAAGTGCTCATGCTTGCCTAGGTTCACAAACAAAGTTATGCTTACCCGATCATCCGAACCAGCCAGATGCAGTGCTTCCCGGCCCGATTCTAGCCAGAATGCACTGCCTCGCATTGTGGCCGGTTCACTTTTTTTGTGGGGCAAGAGGGGGCGTGGCGATCCACTGAAGTGAATTGCACCGTAGCCACGCCCTGCGGCCGCAATGCGTTTGGCCGCACGGGATTGCAAGGCACACGATGCCTGCGGTCCGGTGCAATCAAAATAGTGCTTGCAGCATTTTGATCGCACTGGACCGGACCGCAGTCATAATGTGCCTTGCGATCCCGTGCGGCCAAACGCATTGCGGCCGCAGGGCGTGGCTACGGTGCAATTCACTTCAGTGGATCGCCACGCCCCCTCTTGCCCCACAAAAAAAGTGAACCGGCCACAATGCGAGGCAGTGCATTCTGGCTAGAATCGGGCCGGGAAGCACTGCATCTGGTGTGAACGAGGCCTAAGAGCAAGCCAGCTCTGAGGATTGGGTGAGTAGAACTTTGCTGTTTTTCAACCTAGACCAAAATGAGCACTTAACCCTTGCAGTGTGGAGGTAGCCTCACTGCAAGGGTTAAGAAAACTTTTACCCAGAGTTCTGCTTTCATAAAGAGTTTTAGCTATTGGGGGCATGTAACATAAAATTATTCATTTTAATAAGAGGTCTTTTTTTTCTAATTTAAGGAAACCTGCCCTAAAAAAATGGCAAGCAGCCATTGCTGGGGTACATGTAGACAGGACAAGTGTTAAAAAGGCTGCAGGAAATCAGCAACTCTGAGATGCAACAAAAGATAAAAGAGGATATATAAAAGCAATTGTTTATGATGTAACGTGCTTTACCAAACTGAATGCCATTCATTTTTTGTTTACATTAACAACAAGAGTAACATTTAAGGGGTAGCTTAAGGTTTAGGGTCAACTTTAGGGGTTAATGTCAAGATTATGGTCAGGGGTTACAGCCTTTACCCCAATGTTTCTCAATATTTTTTAAGTCATGGCATCTTTAATAAGTAGGCAAAATCTCAAGGCACCCCAGTCTAAATGTCGTAAAAGCAATAAAATGGCAATAAAATGGCAATGTGTGGCACCTCCAATATACAGTACATACACTAGTCCCTTATGACGGATAGGGGTATGGTATGCATTTTAAAGGGGGGATCCCATTCATTGAATCCATCTCTGAATGGAACCTACCCTACATGGGTTACAACCACTAGTTTTCATGGTATTAGTGGGAGGCCTGCCTGCACTAAGGAAAAACAAATTGAGGTGCCCCTGAGGAAGCCAGAAGGCAGCCCGGGGTGCCACGGCACCCTGCTTGAGAAAGGTTGCTTTACCCTTTTATATGTTAATTACACTGTCAGGACTGGTTATTTTCTTATTCGGGTGTGATCAATAGTTTTTTGTGGGTGCTGCCTGTAACAGGCCCCAAAACATTGTGACTAATTGAAACTTACCAAGAGTAAACAAATGTTAAACAAATATACATTTTATATAGTTATCTGTTTGCATACAATTGCCCTTTAAGGATTAAAAAGAATACCAAAGTTAATAAATGTCTGATCGCCATGCGTCACAGTATATTTACACAGTGTTGGTACTATCTCGAAGAATGATGCAATGCTCTTACCAATCTTCTCCTTTCTTCTTCCACCGTAATGAGTAGGCGAGCAAACTCTTTCAGGGACTGAGCTGGAAGAAAGGAAAGCGAGTTAAGTGCATCTATTAGCTGATAAAAAGGACTTGTAATGAAAGTGTAATCTGAAAAACAACATGACCGGGGAAGCTCTTGTGCTGGATTATTAACACTACAAACATTTTATACATCAGTTCAATTTCAGGAGCAGGGTTAGAGGGAGCCATATGGAGCAGTTTGGCTTCCCTTATCAGACTTACATCTAGGAGACACCAATGAATCTTCTGTGTGCTGTGTGCATGCAACTCATGAGGTAATATAGAGTAAAAGCTGGATATACACTAGTAGATTTTTTTTCTGTTCAGCTTTCAGGCTCAGAGGGAAAAATCGAACAGATTCCTCTATCCATGCTAAACCGCATGAACTAAGGACTCCCCCGCTGCTGCTATTGTTTTTAACAGTCAGCTCAATGTATGGCTAGGGAGCTGATAAATGAATAAGAGCACCTTTCATGGATCGTCACAGTTTCCTTCGAGAAGCTAAACGTCATATAGTAACTCATATGCTGTTGAGAAGGGGTGTTGGAAATACAACAACATATACTGAGCTGTAGATGGCGCTGTAGTGCAATGTTAGTCTCTATGCATATTAATCTATGGTATACAGGAAGTTCTCTCTGTATGCTGTATAATGCTGTATTCCTATATACATGTAGTCAATGTAAGGAAAACTTTTATTCAGCATTCCTTAAGATCTCAGCGCTTCATCCAAACACATACCCAACATCCAGAACTCTCTCCTCCGTGGTGCTTCTCCCTGGTAGGAGGCCTGTGTGAAGATCTGCTGTCAGGGCTTGACCTCAGCACTGGCCATGTGCTGGGGGCCCTGGATACTAGGGCTTCAACTAACAATTATTTTCATAATTGATTAGATGACCGATTATTTTTTCAATCAATCGGATAAAAAATAATTAAATACCATCTTTTATTGAGAATAAAATACACAAATGGAGTTTTACAAACATAAAGTTTACTCCAGAAGAAAACTGCATGCACATTTTTTGATATTGCAGTATCGTGTGTTAGGCAATTGGTGCTATCAGGATCCAGATCTGAACACAAGCACATTAGAGGTGACAAGTTCTCTATTAGACCCCTACTGTCACCTTTCCACTTTTAATAGTTTAAGCTGGGGAATGACAGCTGCTTTTTGAGGCAGTTGATTGTAAACATGGCAGGCAGTGGCAGGGAGAAATAGCCAGGAGAAAGTTCTCCTTCAGGTCTGCTCCTCTGCTGATTGACAGCAGGCAGTGGGCGGGTGCAATAGCGCTATCGCAATTTAAAATAGCCAAAAGCAGGTTGGCTATTGCTCCCAGCCACTGGATGTTGGCTGGAGGTTGGCTTTCTACTGCCAGTAGTTGAAAGAGGGGGCAAGGGGGAGCAGCGGGGGCACGGGAGGAGCAGCAGGGGCAAAGGGGGAGCGAAGGAGCCACAGCGGGGGCAGGGGGGGTACAGCAGGGGCATTGTGGAATGCAGAGGCACAGTGGCTAACAGCCGGTCTCTCCTCCCTGCTGGGTGCCGGTTGCAGCAGTCTGTTTCCCCTACGATCCCTGCTGCCTCTGCTGATACAGGCAAGGCAGAGGGGAATGGGGGAGCAGAGCTGCAGCAGCGGGGTGGGTGGTAGGGCTTTTGAGATTGAGGTGTGGAGGCCGCAGAGGAGATGGGTAGAAGCTACCATCTGAACATTGTAGGAAAGATTCATTGCCCCCAGACCCAGGTATCTTACAGGGGGGACAGAAACCAGTGGTGCAATAGGAGGACTGTGACTGCTCTTACAGGGACATAGATTTATCTGGCTACCCTCTAGACATGTGCGATTCGTTTCGAATCGAAATTCTGACGAATTTTCGGAAATCCGGACATTCGGATGTATGCGAATTCCGAATTACAGACATAACGAATGCAAACGAATCCGAATTTCCATTTCCGAAATTCGGTAGCGGTAGTTCGAACGTTCGTTTTCGGTTGTTATTCGTTTCGTTCGTTGGAGCAAAGTGACATTAGAGAAGGAGAAAAAAAAAATTTCCCCTCAAATGTCACTTTGCTGCAAACAAACGAACGAAACGAATAAGAAACGAATAAGAAACAAATAAGAACAGAAAACGAAACGAACGTTCGAACTACCGCTACCGAATTTCGTCCGAATCCGAATTCCGAATCCGAATTGACTTTCACACCCGAATCCCGAAAAACGAAATAACACAAATCCGAATTTAAAACGAAACTAAACAAATTTTTTGGCAGTGCACATGTCTACTACCCTCTGTCTATCAGTATATATTTTTGGAGGTCACTCTCATAGGACTTGTTGCTTCTGCTACTTCAGAATAATATTTTAACCCAGTGAATCAGGCACCAGTTCAGTTTTTTGGGTAGCTATATGTTTCTCTAGCACAAGCTGAACCTTAGTTTAGAGAAAAAAAATTATTTACTTCTAGTAATCGGTTCAGAGGCCGTGAAGTGGTATTTACAGAGCAATTTAAGTGAACAAGTGACATCAATCAGTGATCTGCTAATACAATACAGGAAACTAACCTTGTTAGGGAGAATCACCTCTCTATTTGTCCTAATAGAATATCCTAATAATCCTAGCAACAGGCTCTCTGACTTGCTGTTGGCACAAGGGCAGCCGACAAGAGCCATCATCCCGCACAGATCTAATCAGGCAAAAGAGGAAGTGAAGTGGGCACTCTGGGGGCTTCTCATTCTTGGACAGAAGTACAGTAAATAATGTGGGGGAATCATAGGGGACATAAAAGCATATTTTTTGTAATGGGAACCTTCAAGGGGTCCTACAGACAAAGTGTATTTTAATTGAGTTTTCTGTTATCCACTACCGCCAGATTCCACAAAGCTCTTCCCATATTCACTGGCATAGTCTGCTTCCCAGAGTCTGTGATGTGGAGCGTCCACTTGCTATGCTTGATCACCAATTTGATTCACATTTAAATATGACTGTTGGCTGTAAGGAACTCCTGAGTACGGAAAACTTAATGCATCATACTTCTATTATCCAGGAGCCAACAAGGAGGCTGCAGTGGGTGTGCATCACTTGGCTGTAGATCCTCAATTCATCTCTGAATTCATGCTGACACTGTCCTTCCATCTGGAGGGGAGCTACTTTTGTTCCCCATGGTATATGTGTGTGTTGTAAAGTAGCCAACGCTCCAAGCTTGCTCTCGTGATGGACTACAATTTCAATACAAATTAGTAAAATAAACGTGAGATTGTAGTCCATCACAGGAGTGAGCTTGGAGCGGTGTCTACTTTACAACACACACACAGGCACCATGGGGAACAAAGGTTGCCATCCTCCGGAAGGAAGGACAATGTTAGCACAAATTCAGAAATGACTGGAGGTTTTACAGCCGAGTAATACACAAATAAGTTACACTTTTGTTAATAATTAAGTTACTTGAATGCATTTTTATAATTTAACTCCTGAGTTTAGCGTCACTTGAAGCCCTAAGCAAGGAGATAGTGTTTCCTGTATACATGCAGAGTCCAATTTCAAGTCATACAGAGCTAAACATTGGGAGGAAAACTGTGGAGCAAAGAGACAATTGACTTCTAAACAGGAACCGTCAGAAGTTACTATGTGAAAGCAATGGTGTCAGTTCCAGCGTGGGTATAATATGCTCCTATTTTGATAAACATGTTATTTGAAGCTAGCAATTTAAAATAAATAATGCTTGTCAGAGCAATAAAAACTCTTTTCAGCAAGTTTACATTTGGCTTCTATTTAAAGAAAGAGAAGAAAAACAAATTACTATGTAACTTAAATGTCAAAAAAAAAAACTCAGTAGGAAACTCATATGAGAAAATCACCAGACAAATATAATAATCCTGCTTAAAGGGGTTTTCTTTGGAAAAGCTCCTTGATGGTGTCGTTCAGGTCTTGGGCTGCTAACTTTAAAGCTTAACTCCAGCCAACAGGGACACAAGCTGTCCAAACTGAAATAAAAGGTTTTGGTTAGAGTTGGACTTACAAAGGTTGATACAATGGTGTCCTGTATTTTGTACTTTAGTAACTTTGAAAAGCCTATTTAAAAAACAAAACAGTAATGGTTATATGAGCACAGGACACACTGCCTTTGTCCCCATGAAGGTGCCGATCCCTCTTCTAGAACAAGAGAGGATGGGCAGTGAGATGTAAACATTGCATGTCCAGGCCAGGAAGCATTAGGAAGCATAGCCCCCAACTGTTGTGGATCCCATGGGACTGCCACAGTATTTAAATAAATCCCCTTTGGTCCTGCAGATCCAGGACATCTCCCAAAGCCAAGCCCCTGCACACTCGACTCCAGATCTATGCTGCTACTGTTGTGTAGTGTAGTCTCCTGTCTGACAATATCTGCATATTTCCGGTGGTGACGTCACTACACAGGCATCTCAGGCGTTAGTAAGTATACACTAAGCATTATGATGTGCCTCTTTTTTTGAAGTTCTAAAGTTGGGAATGAGGAAGGGGCAGAGAGGTTAAAAGGGATAGATGGGTTATAGTTACTTATTATTTGCAGGCCACACTGGATCTGTTGTATCCCACTGGCTACTGCAAAAGGTTTTGAAGACAAAAAATGTTTTAGTGGATTGCAAAGGGTTTGTATTATTGACCCTGGTTGTATTTTATGTGTCACTGGTCTTACTTTTAGCATATACAGTACACAGCTCTCCATGCTAGCCAGCATGCAGCTTGCTCATTTTGTGTCTGCTCCTTTCAGAAATCACTTAAGCAAACAGGAATTTGGGTTATAATGTTCTGTTTCCACCAAGACATAACAAATTAAATTGTCCTGCATTGTCTACTAAAATAAATGTTAAAGACCAACTCCAGCCATTTTTTTTTTATAATTTATTTTGAATAGAGGGGCAAGAGCTAAAGCAGACCTTCACACCCCTTTTACCTCATTCCCCTTCTAACCGACTCTTCGCTCATAATTGGATATCTCCGACCCCCTCCTTATTACTTTGAGACCCCCTCCCGGCATTTCTGGGAT